TAGAGTATTCTTCATGATCTAGACTCGTTAGTAGGGAAACTACTGAAAGCGAAATACTTCCCAAATCAAGGTCTTTTTGAGGCCAATCTCGGTGATAGGTCTTCCAATGCGTGGCTAGCATCTACAAAGAAAAAGAGGCTTTTAAGGAATGTTTCTTTTGGAGATTAGGCTTCGACGATCATACACGATTTTTTGAAGACGCCTGGGGGACTCCTTTCCAATTTGTTGGACGAACTCTTATGTCGATAACGGTGACAACCCTATTAAATGTTCGGATTTCATGCTTCCCGGGGTACCAAGATGGGATGAAAACAAGATTCATATATTTCTCCCACCGGAGGATACATACAAGATTTTAAGTACTTTGAATGCATCATCTCGAGAGGGAAAACTAATATGGAATCACCACTCCTTCGGATGCTACTAGGAAGAATCAATATATAATTGATTACTGCTCCAAAAAGGGATCCTAAGAGATAATGCAAGAATATGGAAGACCCTTACTGAGTTGCCAATTCTATCAAAAATAAAGATATTTGGGTGAAAAATCTACCACAACGCCGTCCCAACCAGAGAGAAACTCACACAAGCCAGCCTTTCTGAAGGGAAATGTCCTTTATATAGGGACACAAGTGAAACTTTTCTCTATGCCCTTAAAGATTATCCTAAGGAAATGAATACTATGCAAATCACATATCTTAAAAAGGACATCTTTGAGTGGCAGAGGAACACTTGTAAGGCATGATTGGATTGGTCTGCTTATCAACTGGACCACATGGGGCTTGCACGTTTGGTCTTTCTCCTGTGGAATATCTGAAATAGGTGCAACAAGTTCATTCACGATGGAGAGGTACATGAGGATAGAGACGTCGTCATTGTAGCCTGTAACCTCTGCTTTGAATTTTTTGAAGTCCTTGAGAGCTGGACGCATCAGAAGATGACCTCCTTCATTTCTCGAACATAGACTAAACCTCCAAACTCTTTTATAGAGATCAATGTGGATGGAGCATGTAATACCTCTGGTAAGGTAGCTGTTATTGGAGTTGTTGCAAGGGACATACATGGTATAGTGATTGGTGGAATATGTAGACATATCCCTTAACCCTTTTCTACCGAGTCTACTAAAGCCAAGGCCTTTACGCAAGGGATCCAACTCGCAATCGAAAATGGCTGGGGTAAAGCAATTATAGAAGGGGATGCGATCGCAATTGCCAACATGCTTGTTAATTGCAATGATGACGTGTACATAATCGAATTGTTACTCAATGAAACTCGAGGGTTACTTGCTTCCAATAATGGGCTCAAAGTTTTCTATATTAATCGGGAGGCAAACATGGTAGCTCATAGTCTTGCCCAATGGGCTTTGTCGAATCCCAATCCGTTTTGGCTTTATTATGACGAGCCTGATTGTATTAGATCGATTGTAATTGACGATGCTATTAACTCACTTTCTAAAAAAAAAACCAATTTTTAGTATTCTCCTCCCCACACAAATATAAAATAAGTAATTGTTAAATGTATATTTTAAAAAACAATTTGATCCAAATCATTTTAACCCAATTTAATTGAGGTATACAATACGATAAATGATGATTTATTTCTTTTTTATTTAGATGAATAATCATAACTTAAGTATGGATGATGATATTATATAGATTTTATTAGCATATTATTTATTATAGGTACAAGGATTTTTGTAACTTTTTAAATTTAAAATTTGATCGATGATAATCTCACATAACTCTCAAGTGTTGGCTTTTTATGTAGCTCTCTCTCTCTTTTCAAAGCATGGACTCATGGCTTATTCAATATGATAAACAACGTGTTCACATTGCAACATAAATACCATTACTTTGTTACCTAAATCTGAATGGCTGTCCCTTGTTCCTATATGAAATGGGGTAAGGGGTGATAAGATAGTAGGCTGCCCCAACACTAGGTTGATAGCAACTTCCGTAGGAGACCTCCAAATTATGAAATATCCTCCATGAAACTCGATCCCACGACCTCAAAGTTAAGATCTTTGTGCTCTACCAACTGAGCTGGATGGTCATTTCAACCTAAATTATTTATAGGCAGAAAAACAGGGTAGCAGAGTGCATGCATGCTTGCCTGTCGGCTTGTTGGTGGCCCCCATTGCCTTCATTTGATCGGCTCAATGCATTAATTTAACCCCATTAATACAAGGAGTTGACCCATTCTCTTCTCATAACTTGAACCATTTTGATCAGCAAGTGAAAATCTAAGGTTTATTATTTAAAAAATATATTATTTTTACTAAATTTGAAATTCGTTTTCCAAAACGAAAAAAATATTTATTTGTATTTTAGTAGAATTTGTAAATCCAATGTATCCGTGTTTAAGATTTTGGTACATTTGTATTTAAGGAATTAATGTAAAAATATGAGATGGGATTGACGTACCGGTTCAGATGTCACATATAAAATGGGTAATTTTGTTGGCTGCTACATTTTATTATATTATAAGTATACCTTATCTTATTTTTTAAAAATATTTTTATAATTTTATAATTATTTATTAATGTGATATATAAAAAATAATGTCACATCAATATGAAGTATGTCGGGTTATCGTATAAATTATCATGTCAACAGTGTTAAAGTTTTAATATTTCAATCGATATTTTTATAAAAAAAATGATTGAACTTTTTCAAAAGATCAAAATTTTAAATTTAACTAAAAAATAAATCAAATTAACAAAAAACATAAACCTTAAGGATCAATTTATCATTATAATTTTTATGCCAATCAAGTATTGGGTCTGTTGTCATATGTTGAACTCTTGGGGATCTTGTCCACGTTTGACTCATACCACGTTTTAGGCATACTTGGATTTATAATTCAATTTTTTTTGGTTAAGTCCTATCATAGATTAGTTATAAATGTATTTTTTTTAAGTTGCACTTTTAGCTAAAAGGCTATTATTTATATTACAATTACATATCTCATTAATTTTATTTTTTAAGTTAAGTCATTTTTTGTTTGAGTTCAAAGGAGACTTTAATTTTTTTGAATTAATCATTGATATCCGATCTATTGATCGACTAATCTATATTGTGTACTGCAGAGGCGAGGGCGACCCTCCCATCCCAGTTTACTTCATTCGCAAACGACATGATTCGAACTTCTGACATTGTTTAAGGGACCCAATGTCTCATACTACTAGACCAACTGGTTGTTGGTATAGGAGACTTTAATTTTTAATTTGTCATCAAATAAGCTTTTAATATAAATAGATCTTTTATTTATTACGAAGATTTATTAAAAACCATTACAAATATGAGTGTATTTGTGTTGATAATAATAGTATAAAGATGAAAGACATTTTTAGAAAGGTAAATTCTAGTGTCCGATAACGTGGTATATTTGCAAAAATAATTTAATTATTAAGTTATAGGTAGAATATTAATTTGAATATAAATTTTAGATGATTTATTAATTTCTCTCCTAAGCATTAGATAAATATTAATTTGACTCATGAATTTAATTAAAATCTCCGATACTGACCACTACTCATCATCGTCACCGATTACCATTAACTACTGTCATTGTCATCACCTATTGTCATTGTCGATGGCCTTTAGATTCTAAAATTTCCAATTCACTCTTTAATTTTATGAACTCGGAGATGTCAATTTAATCAAAAAATATCTCGAGCTTCATAGATATAATATGGAATCTTTCTGATTATTTTAATAAAACCCATAAGAATAAATTTGTCATTATATTTCTTTAGAAATAAGATAACGAAATGACTAAAAATGAGAGAAAAGAAAAGAAAGTTCAGGAAGTTGAAGGACTAGATATTGTTTTATCCCTTATTTTTTTAAAAGAACTTTAAACTGTAGCAGCGTCCCGCCCACGGAGTTACGCTCCTCTCTCTCTCTCTCTGTGCTTATATTAGACAAACAATCTAACGCTCTCGGAAGCCTCAGCTCACTGTCCCTCACTCTACCTTTTTCACTCTCTTAAAAATAGACAAAAAAAGTTGAAAAAAGCCAAAAAAAGTAGAGGAAACCTATCCAGAGTTCTTCATTTGCGGTCTTGCGGAGCTCCCCGGAACGCAGTAAGCTTCTTCTTCTTTTCAAATACTTTTAGCTGTTGCTATTGGTTTTTGCATTTGAATTGCTATAGTTCATAATTCTGGTTGTATGATAGGTAGAGTGCAAGAATTTGAACTTTTGGATCTATAACGGAGCCTTTATTTTGTTTTTTCAGAAAATTTCTGTATTTTTTGTAAGCTTTATCAAGCATTCAAGCAGAGTTCTGTTTTTATTTTATTATCGAACTTTATCCAAACATTCAAGTGCATCACATTTTTCTTATGAATCTGTAGTTATTCCTGATAACTTATAATCCATTCGGAGATTTGGACCCGGTCTTTCTTTATTATTATTTACTTGCTAGCTCGGAATTCGGATAGGATCGAAGATTCTTTTTTCTTTTCTATTTTTTTAGAAATCGCCTAAAAGCTAAAATGTCTCAATTGAAATAAACAACTTATTAATATATAGAATCCGCTGTTTAGCTTACTCAGAATACCGTGAAAATAATTAAGTTTTTTAACCGCACACTGAGAGACACACTAGAGGATTCTCTGAGACTCACTTCAACCAGTAAAAATAATCCTTGTCAAACTCTTCGGATACACACTTCAAGTGTTGGAACTTGAGAATTGAGACTTTGATTTTGGACTCCGAAGGTCTCAGATTCCAATATTTGAAAATGGAAAAGGGTGACCTTTCATGGCTCGATTGACTCTTCATAATGGAAAACTAGTTCTGATTATACAAAACAAATGGCATTTTTTGCATGAGGCTAAAGTTTATCGAGTCAATAATTTTGTGATATTGTTGCAGAGCTTATACAGTGCGAGAATTGATTCAAGTCATAACATTTGTTTTTTTTTCTTCTAGAAAGTTGTAGTTTACCGTATTCAATATTCTCACCATGTTACATTGATTCGGTGTTAGAAATGCAGGTTCAATGAAAAAAAATTCAAATTGAAAATCATGCATTGTTCTTCCAGAAGGAAAACGAGTATGAATAAAGAAAATGAACTTACTGAAAAATTTGAAGAGCCAGCACGACGAATTACTCGAGCACTGGCTAAAGCACAGGGGGGTGCAGCCTCAAAATCGTCCTTCAAACAAGTCAAAAAATGTGTTCATCGAATGAACTCCAAACGTGCATCATCTGATGAGAACAAGGCTTCTGTGACTGCCACCGTTGGCCTTCAGCCTAAAAGAAGGGTAGTGCTTAAAGATGTAACGAACGTCTGTGCCGACGATATGCACATGGACTACTTAAAAGCAACCAAAATTCAGGTGAGGACATCTTTTGATTTTTTTCCTGAAATTCAGCCTGCAAATTTCCTATGCACTAAATAGCATGCACTAATGACATCTATTTACGAACTTGGAGGTTGTTTACTTTACTATTACTCAAATAAACAACGGAGTAGATGAAAAATTCTTCCTGAAATTTGTCTGAAATGCAGGGATGGCTTTTGCTTCTATTTATTCTCCTAGTGGCAAAGTAATCTGTACTTGCTAAATAATCAAAGTTTCTGTTATTATTACTGGTTGACAGACCTCCAAGCAGACCATTAGAGATCCTAGGGGGAAGAAAAAAGAAATGGTTGACGATATCTTCACTGAGATTCCATTAGTGGAAGATGTGAAAGCAAAGTTAGCTGAAGACTTGTCAAAAATAAGGATGATGGAGGCACAGGAAAGCACTTTACCCGTAAAACTGGAAAAAAGTGCAGTAGCAGAGCCTAAGTGTCATGCTGAAAGAAAGTGTACCGTACCAGATTCATTGCCCCCAATACAGGCCTTTTCAATGTCAGTTGGACACCAAAGCCCTCAAAGAAAAGGTTAGCGCTCTTTCTAAAATCATCGAAGGAACGGCATTAATCATGCAGTCCAGTTGTCCTCTGTTTTAGAAGTACTAGGTGTCAAGACTGCTCCAAGGTTAACACACAATAAGATACTGCAAAGTATTATTACCGTTATGGTTTTTGATCAAAATGTTCAGTGCTTTTAGGTCCGTGTCAATTGTCATGTTTATGGAACCTTATTCTGAAAATACGGCATTATGTGTGTTTTACTTTTTGAGAACTTTTTATTTGGAAGAACATAACGAAGGTTTTGGAAGAAAAAAAAGCCATTTAGCCCTTAAAATATTATGCTTGTAAATTTTTGTTGGTTTTGAGCTTTAAATTGATGTTGCAGAAGAAGATGAGGTTTGCGACAGACCAGAATGCTCGAAAGATGTTATGGATATTGATTCAAACCTAAAAGATCCTCGATTGTGTAGCTTATATTCCCCCGATATATACAATTATATACGTGTTGCCGAGGTTGGTGATGCAATTTTTCATTCACTAAATGCCAATATATGATTATCGTACTTTTCCATAGGAGTACAATTATGTACGTCTTGCTGAGGTTTGATGCTGCTGCTACTTTTTCTCTCTTTCCTTTTTACATTTTTACGAAGTGAATTATTCAGAGACAGTGACTCCTGTTGGCAATATATAATCGTTATTTTTGCTTTGATGAAGGATTTTTTCTTTCTCTCATTGGAAGGAATGTCTCTTAGCTTGCAAGTTTTTCTCTACTGGCAACTTGATACTTATTTCATCAGATTATCTTCTGCAGCTTAACCGGAGACCATCAACTAATTATATGGAGCAGGTGCAGAAGGATATTACCCCAAGCATGCGAGGAATTTTGATTGACTGGCTAGTGGAGGTAAGTCAATGTAGTTAATTTATAGCCAAATAGTTACTTGCATCTCCACATGCTTGAATGTAGGACAAGAAGTTGAAAAAGCTGCAGACTTCATCCTAGTACGAGATCTTATTATGCAGTTCTATTTTTCTTGTTCACCAGAACTTTTCTCTCTTGAGCAGAGACAGTCTACTGTTTATTGTTCTCCTCACCCAAAAGAATCATATATTTATCGAACTTCTGAATAGAAGGATATTCTCTTTGTTCTTGAAGCGTATAAAGAGAGATTTTATTACATTTTTGTTAGTATGATCTAAACTTTAGGCTATTTGATGTGCTTGCTGCTATTTACAGTTTTTCTTATCGTTTCAGGTTTCTGAAGAATATAAGTTAGTCCCAGACACACTGTACCTCACTGTGAGCCTCATTGATCGTTTTCTCTCCCACAATTTTATAGAAAAACATAGACTCCAGCTACTAGGTGTTACCTGCATGCTAATTGCATCGTAAGTTCTTTAATTTATTTACTGGGACTTAAGAATTATGTTCCATGCATCTCTTCTGACATATGCTTGTGCACTCGCATAGTCGCATATGCAAGTGTGACAGAGGAATCTAACTTTTTTCCCCCGCATTGATGATAAATATGAAAAAAAAAGTAGTAATATTTGCTGAGGGCTAAAACATGCACTAAACTTTCAAATAAGATTGGTGATATTTGCAACACTGGTCGTTATTATCTTTCTTACTCTGTCATTAAGGATTCTAAGTGCTTTACTTTTACGGTTTGAAGAAAGTACGAAGAGATTTGCGCACCAAGAGTGGAAGAATTCTGCTTCATCACTGATAATACCTACACAAGAGGAGAGGTATGGTTTTTCAGCTACTACTTGTACATAACATTCATGAATCTAGCAGTACTTTAAAAAAAAAACTGTAAGCAAAATCTTGGTCAATAGTCTAGCAGTAATGTTTGTGACATATTCTGTTGGCTCTGGCTACATGGCAGGTGTTGAAAATGGAGAGAAAAGTTCTGAATTTCTTGTATTTTCATCTCTCTGTTCCGACCACAAAAACATTTCTCAGGTAATGACACCATCTTCAAACTCCACTAAATGCCGTCAGCTTAGCCGATCATCTAAAACAAACTTGGGGTTTAGCCCGAACGGTTTGCCTGCCTCTCTTCCGACACCAGAATGGATTAATCCGTTTCCTAATTTTCAATTTTTTCTCAGGAGATTCATTCAAGCAGCACAAGCAACTTACAAAGTAGTTTACCTTGGAATCCCTATCTACATCTTTTTCTATAAAATTCAGTAGAAACTAATTTGCATTTCACTTGTGTTGGAGTACAGGTTCCGTGCATGGAACTAGAGTTCTTAGCAAATTATTTGGCAGAGCTGTGTCTAGTTGAGTACAACTTCGTAAAGTTCTTGCCTTCACTCATCGCTGCATCTGCTGTATTCCTTGCTAGATGGACCCTCAGTAAATCAGTGCATCCATGGGTCTGTTCATCCTTGTTCCCCTCTCAAGCTTTTCTCTTTTGTTCTTTCTTATAATTGGAAACACCGTCTGAAGGACAGAATTTCCATTTATTTTGGGGCTTTTTGTTTCGCAGAATCCAACCTTGGAGCATTATACTAGTTACAAGGCATCAGAGCTGAAAACTAGTGTACTTGCATTGGAGGAATTGCAACTCAACACTAATGGCTGCTCCCTCAATTCTATTCGCGACAAGTACAGACAACAGAAGGTAAATTATATATATATATATTATTTTATACATTTTGAAGTTAAAAAACACCCCACAAGCAAGATTAAATGGATGACATGAATCATTTAGAAGTTCAGGATTTGAATTTTAAAGTTTAGTGTTTATAAATAAACACGGGTTTTAAATCATAAACTCTAAATTTTAAACCTTAAAATATCGATTCCCGTTACATAATTACTAAACTCTAGACACTAATCTATCAGCATCATAGGTGATATATTTAGTATTGTTTATGGAGTTTTTTTTTAATTCCACTGATAATAAATATATATTTTTATCATATATAACACATATATGAATTTAAGTTTATGATAAAAAGGGTTTTTCTCCTTTTTTTTCCTGGTTGATGTCACAATTGACAGTTCAAATGCGTTGCGACAATGAGTTCCCCAGAAAGAGTAGTATCAGTCTTCTCAAGAAGATAAAGACAATTTGTCTTCTAAGACGTTTTACACAGTCGATTTTAGGGGGTGAGGTTTCAGTAATAAAATTCCTTTCTCCAATGGGAACCGGGAAGTTACCACCACTATAATGGATCTTTGTAATCCAAGTCCCTCAAGACAGAAGGTTTTTCTTTTTTGATGATATTTAATTATCCTTATTTTAACTTTTATTAGTTTGATTGTCAATTGAGCTGATGACACTCAACTTTTGGCACCAACTTAGATAAATTACCGTATGCACATTATACATAAAATGACCAAGGCAGGGACAAAGTTAGGATTTTAGTTCAAAGAGATAAAGTATAATTAATAATAAAAAAATAAGAGAGAAAAAAATCAAAATTTAAAGACCTAAATAGATAATTGTCCTATACTTTTTAATGATAAAAAAATTGGGGGAATTTGTCCTATCATTACAAGTGTCCTTTATTTAAAAACATAACCACGAGTACTACTGATAGCGAACTACTGATGCCACAGGGATCGGGAAAATAACAAACTACAAAATAAAGAATAAAAGACAAAACGGGACAAAAAAGAATGAACCCCTTATCTCATAGAATACATAAAGAATTACACAATACAAATTGGGAGAAGAAAAAAAAATAATGATCAAAGATAAAGCCAATTATAATAGGTTACATAGGTTTAGGGCATTGAAAGATACATTTGATTGAGGCAAGTGCCCTACAATGCACCAAAAATGATGGGCAGTTAAACTACGATAGACGGGCAAGCCAACTCTCTACCTCCAAGATGCCAGTCAATGACTATATCAGACCATATTTGACGTTTCGGTGCCACAGTCAGTGCCGATACAATAGGGAAAGATTTCCTACTTCAACCCCCTAGAACACGTTTGAGTCCGGCTCGTTGCTCCGGTGTCAACTTTGTAGGGAACTTCACATCGAATTTGATCCTAAGATCACCCCTATTACCAGGCTCCTTTGCAATTGGCATTCCTTCCTTAGCAACAATGAGCTCATAACCCGGGTGGATAATGTCAGTTATGGGCAACGACAACTTACGGCCATTAAGCGTAGTTAGATTTACAGTTGTACCCCCAAGTGCCTCGGCCAGTGACACCTTTCGGTCGACGATAAGATCGTTGCCGTCTCTTTTGTAAAGATCATGGGGTTTCTCATCGATTACAAATACAAGGTCCGCCGGAAGCTGATTTGGCTGTTCATTTCCTTTATCTGGGAAAGTAATCTTTGTTCCTTTCTTCCACCCTGGCTTTACGTCGATGGTTAATGTTTCCGATTCCTGTGCTTGCCGCCTATAAGGATCCAAATTATTGTTCAATCAGCAAAATCAATATAAAGCATGAACACGATATACATGCATAGAAAACACAATGCCACAAAGCATGAAAGAATTAAAACTCATTTGCAACCATTTGATTTGAAAACATAATTGCTTTGCTTTTCCTCTGTGAGTTCAATGAAAATGCATGCTTAGACTGTCAAATAGTAAGCATCCATCTTTGATGAGAGTTTCAGTTTATGTGATAAAGAATCTCATTAGTTCCATCCTCGGAACACGAAACTGAATTTCTGAGCTTATCGAGATGAAACATAAGACGAGAAAATGCAATAGAGGATCATGCATTAGATGGATATTCATACCCAGATGAATTGACAACAGTTCTTGAGATCTTCATCTTCCTTGTCGATCCAGTGTACAGTTCTTCAAGGGTGCAAGGCAATTTGCTCTCAACCGGGGGTGGTTTCCTGGGCGGAGTTGTATCATTGTAAGTTCGAAAATTGTTGTCAGTGCAACCAAACCCTCCAAACTTCCCTCCATCAGAGTGGAATCTTGCAGACCTACCAGGTCCCACTGACCCGAATTCGAAAGGACTACTTCCAAAGAACTCGGCAAATATATCCTCGGCATTCCTAGGATTGAACCCGCTCGACCCACAGAAGCCATTTCTTGATGATCCGCCACTGCCCGGTGGAGGGATGTTTTTCAACCCTTCTTCACCCTGCTGATTGTAAATTGCTCTCTTTTGAGGATCACTCAAGACCTAAATCACAAAATTAACATAATTCCCCATATCAAAACTAAGAAGGCAATGGATACCAGCTCTCGAAAGAGCTTACGGGCATCGTCCTGGTCTTCCTAACACATAAACCTGGTTTCTACAAATGCAATGCATAACCATGTTGCTCGGATTTTTCATTATTTTCGAGGTACTCATGTCCAACAACCACATCCAACATGTGAATACGAGGATGTGACCTCCAAAAATTTCTCCAAATACACGGGGGGAAAAAACTTCAGAAAAATCCAAGTACAGATACATCGAAGTCCGAGTAACATAGATGCATTCATGTTTTATACCTCATCTTATTATCATTCATCAATATCTTTCTCTCTAACCTTAATTCCATTTCAAGAAAAGCAATAGCAATAAAACATCTCTAATGCCATTAAAGTAAACAGCTATGCTATTCAAAGATTGAAGCAAGAACATAAATTTCTTCAGGCCTTCCTCTATCAACATTAATTCATTCAATACCCATTTTCTCAGCCAAAACAGAGTCAAGGTCATTGTGTTTCCTTCCAGCCAGACACCATAATCAAATGACAAAAGAACTTGATAAAGAAAACACAGAATCTAGTGATATAAATTCCATCATTTTCATTATATTAACAATCCAAGAGAAACAAAATGAAGGAAAGACTTGCCTCATAGGCCTCTGAGATCTGCTTGAAATTGGCCTCAGCTTCCTTTTTATTGTTTGGGTTCTTGTCAGGATGCCATTTCATTGCCAGTTTCCTATATGCTTTTTTCAGATCATCTTCCGTTGCAGTCCTGTCCACTTTCAACACATTGTAATAATCCACCCCCATTCTTTCTTGATTTTTGTCTTTACAATTCGACCCAAATCCTATAAAATCATCAAATCCTTTCAACAAATTGACAAAAAAACCCACGAGGAAAAAGAAGAATATCCGCTAAAATCCCTCTTTCTGTCGGTAAATCCAAATTCTGCAGGAAAAAATCTATGAATTTTAATGTTCCATTGATTGGAACATGAAAAATGGGAGATTTTTTTTCTGCAGACAAGATTAACACAAAACAAGCGAAATTTCCTGTTATTTGAACCAAAAAATTTAAAGAAAATAAAGGAAGAGATAGGGGTTGAGATTTCTCTCTTTCTCTCGGGGGAATCAGTGTGCTTGCATTTCTTCGGTTGAAGACCGTGTTTGTTGGGAGACTTTCAGTCCATATAAAACGAAACGGAGATTAAATCAATATCAGTAAAGATCGTTGTTTGATCTTTTAAGTACAATACATTACATATATAACCATGCATATATATGGAAATTGGTCGTTGGTTTATTTTCCTCTCTCCCTATTCCTGGAAAAATGGAAATTATGGTTTGCATTTTGGCAATGAAGTTGCCGCGTAAACCCGAATGCAATACAACTCTACAACTTAGGGCAGTGTTTGGTTGATGCATAATATTTTCTTTTTGAAGGGCAGCGCCATCGAATTGGATCCCTTCCGCCATTTTTGAAGACTTTTCAACTGAAGATTAGAAAGCGTTCCCCTGTGACAAGAACGCTTCTTTAGCATTTGGTTCCACATTGGGATAGCGGCTGATATCTTCTTCTACGAACAAAGATTATAAACAAATCCTTCCTTCTTCATCAAACAAAACAATTGCAAAGCAATCTAACTTGATTCTTTTTTCTGGGATTTTTTCTTAGGCATGAACCAGGTAGTGATGGCAGTGGAATGATTAGTCATAAGCATGGTAATTACAGTAGAAGATTCCATGGGAAAATCACAGTGTGTTGTAAAGTCAAAAAGGGTAGGCGGGGGCATGATTTTTTTTTGTAAAGTCAGTATCATTTTTCAACAAAGGGGCATCGAATTCGGTGTTTCAATATTTTAATTAAAATATTTTTTTGTTTAATTACATTTTAGCCACTATACAGTTTAAGGTATTTATAAGATTAATTCCAAAGTTTCAGTTATAAATACCCTAACTCATTTAGTTTCAAAATCATCCCAAAACATTTCTTTCTTCCTATACTAGAGAGCTTTCTTGTGAGTAGTGAGTGTTTTGTAAACACCTATAAATTTTCTCTCTTAGTAAAAGATCTGCAGCAGCCCGGAGACGTAAGCACAATTGGCTGAACTCCGTTATCAATTTTTGGGTATTATTTTTTCGCTTTTATTTCGCATTCTCACTAATCTGGTTATAGGGAAATTACTTGTGACTCGTTTATTTCCTAACAACTGGTATCAGAGCTTTTGGATTTGAATTTTGTCAATTTTTCTGCGAGGTTACTATTCATTACTATTAACATAAATAGTGAATTTCGTGAATAGTGAAATTCGGTCGACGATACGAGTTTGTCGACGGTGGTGTTCTAATACACGGTGGTTCGCAAGAATTGTCAGAAACGATCCAAAAGAAGCCAGTTTCGAGTTGAAGCGATAGCTGCAGACGAAGGGAATGTGAAAATTGAAAAGTTCGATGGTGCAGACTTTGGCTTCTGGAAGATGCAGATTGAAGATTTTCTGTACCAGAAAAATCTTTATCAACCTCTCTCAGGAAAGCAACCAGAAGGCATGAAGAATGAAGATTGGGTTCTTCTCGACCGACAAGCCCTCGGAGTTATCCGATTGACGTTATCCCGCAATGTTGCTTTCAATATAGCAAAGGAAAAGACCACGGCGGGTCTTATGGCGACTCTCTCCAGTATGTATGAGAAGCCATCGGCCTCAAACAAAGTTCATTTGATGAGGCGATTATTCAATTTACGGATGACGGAAGGGGCATCAATGGCACAACACCTAAATGAACTCAACACAATCACAACTCAGTTGAGTTCAGTGGAAATTGAATTCGATGATGAAGTTCGAGCTTTAATTCTCTTATCATCTATACCAGATAGTTGGAATGCTACTGTTACAGCAGTTAGCAGCTCGTCGGGAAATAGTAAATTGAAATTCGACAATGTTCAGGATCTGGTACTGAGCGAAGAAATTCGACGGAGAGAATCGGGTGAAGCATCAACCTCCTCAGCCTTGCACACGGAGTCTAGAGGGAGAACTTCAGAAAGAAATTCAAATCGTGGTAGATCAAAATCCAGAAGGGGAAAATCAAGAAAAGGAAATAAAGATTTTACCTGTTATAATTACGGCAAGAAGGGTCACTTCAAAAGAGATTGCCGAGCACCGAAGAAAAATACCGGCGCATAGGAATCTGCCAACATGACGGAGGAGACAGGTGATGCCATGATTTTAAGCGTCAACAGTCCGATTGAATCATGGATTTTGGATTCAGGGGCATCTTTCCACTCCACCCCATGCCGAGAAATCATGGAGAACTATGTCAGTGGTGATTTTGGGAAGGTTCATCTAGCTGATGATGAAACCTTGAAGATCGTCGGAAAAGGAGACATCCGACTATAGCTGCCAAACCAGACCACCTAGAAGCTGATAGGAGTGAGACATATTCCTGGCCTCAAAAGAAATCTGATTTCTGTTGGACAGCTTGATGGAGAAGGATATAGTACAACCTTTTCAGGCTGTGAATGGAAGATTACCAAAGGAGCACTCGTCATTGCTCGTGGTAAGAAGACTGGTACTCTCTATGTAACCTCAAATTTAGAGAATATCATTACAGTAGCAGATGCTGATGGAAAATCAAACCTATGGCACCAAAGGCTTGACCATATGAGCGAGAAAGGGATGAAGATACTTTTGTCAAAAGGGAATGTTGAAAACATTTTGATATTTCGATATAACAAATTAAGTTAAATGAATTTTAAGATTTTCCAAAATGATTTTCTAAGTATATTCGATATAATTATTCGAATATCAAAACATTACTCAAAATATTACAAAAATCATTTTTAATCCTTACTTAAGTGTAAAAATAAGTTTTAATCTTAAAACAATTTCAAAATAATCTTTCAAAGTATTTCGAACCATTTCAAAGCCAAAAATTCCAGATTGCTCAGAGGGAACCGATTCCCCCCCAAGGGGGTACCGATTCCCCCCTGAAGGGTTTGGCTCCGAGATTTCCAGAATGCTCGGAGGGAACCGATTCCCCCATAGGGGGTACCGATTCCCCCTGTTCAACGGTCGAAATATTTGAATTTTACACTTAGGGAACCGATTCCCCATAGGGGGTACCGATTCCCCCCACGCTCCAAACTGTTTTATTAATTGTTTTCACACTAAAACGGCTATATGATCTTCACTAATCATCCCCAACGTTCAGAAGAGATTCAAGGTGTATTTAAACAAGTTCTGAAGCCCTTGATCAACAAGAAATTATAGAGAAACAAGAGAGAAAGCATCAAACACCAAGTTTGTGCAAATCAAGCCAATTTTCCTTTCAATATTCATTTTGCTTTCAAGAACACCATTTGTGCTCATTTGTAATTATCTTTGAGTGTTCTTTTCTTGTTCTAGAATTGTGCAAACATCTTACCTTGTGAGGTTTTCTTGTAAGTTTTCAAATTTGTAATCTTCTCTTTGGGAAAAAGAGTGTTCTCAAGAGTTGGGGTATACTCTTGAGGGATTTTGTAAGGTTATCTCTTTGGCCTCAAAAGAAAGAACAAATTAGTGAATTTGTTGGAAAATCCTTAGTGTGGATAGCTAAGGTAGTGGACGTAGACTTTGTTTGAGAAAGTCGAACCACTGTAAATCGCTGTGCAATTACTTTCAATTTTTCTGCAAAAGCTTCCACGAAATTTTTAATTGCCAATTCACCCCCCTCTTGGCCGATTCCGTCGATCGATTAACTCAACAATTGGTATAAGAGCCTAACTCATTTGAAGGTTTAATCGCCTCTTGAGTCGATTCGGGAAGAGTTATATCGATTATTAAAGTCATCAATGGCCTCCGCTTCAAACTTCGACTCCGGTCTCGATTCGATGCCCGTCAACAAGCCTCCTTTCTTCAATGGAGCTAACTATGCCTATTGGAAGAATAGAATGATGTATTTCATTCAAGCAAGTGACATGGGAGCATGGAATGCTGTAGAAGAAGGATACATCAAACCTCTCACTCATCCAAGGTTGTGGAGTGAAGGAGAGACAAGAATGTTCCAGCTCAACTCCAAAGCCATCCATATTATTTTTTGTGCTCTTGGACCAGATGAATACGGAAGAGTTTCATCGTGTACAACCGCCAAAGAAATATGGGACAAGCTTCAAGTCACACATGAAGGTACATATGAGGTAAAGAAATTAAAAATTAGTATTCTAACGCATAGCTATGAAAATTTCAGGATGAAACCAAATGAAGACATCAAAGCTATGACGGATAGATTTTCAACGATTGTCAATGGTCTCAAATCATATGGAGAGATCATCTCAAATGAAAAGCTTGTGAGGAAGTTAGTCTACTCCCTCCAAAAATCATGGCAATCAAAGAAGACGGCAATCATCGAGTCTAAGGACCTATGGTCCTTAACTCTTGAAGAACTTATCGGTTCACTCCTCACTCATGAGATGATGCTTGAAGATGAGGTGGACCTTGATAAAGTTGAAGAGACACCAAAGGAAAAGGAGAAGAAGAAAAATATTGGAGTTGCTCTCAAATCCACAAAAGATGAGAGTGATTCTAATAATGATGATGATGACGAGGAAATGGCATTGTTTGCCAAACGGTTCAGAAAAATGATGAGACCTTACCAAGGAAGAAAATTCAAACGAAACGAAGGTCTCAAAAATGAACCAAAAGAGAAGGACCCAATAATTTGCTATGAATGCAAAAAGCCGGGGCATGTCAAATATGATTGCCCACAATTGAAGAAAAAGGGTCAATCAAAGAATAAGCACAAGGCTCATGTGGCTACATGGAGCGATGAAGAAAGTTCCGATGAAGAGGAACAAGAAGTAGCAAACTTGTGCTTGATGGCATTCGGGGAAGATTCTAAGGTAACCTCTAACTCATCCGATTTTGATGATTTATCTTATGATGAGTTATTTGAGGAGTACAATGGGTTGGCTTCGGATTATGAGAAATTGTTTTTAAAATATAAAAATGATGTTTCAAAATTGAAAAATGAAAACAAACTCATATCCAAAACCAAC